CAGCATTTTGCAGTACATAAACCAGGGGTAAAATTGAGGTTTTTTTCAGCATTTTGCAGTACATAAACCAGGGGTAAAATTGAGGTTTTTTTCAGTATTTTGCAGTACATAAACCAGAGGAAGAAGCACAGGGAGCGCTGGGTTGGGGCTCTGAAGTCTACCTCAGTCCCACGTGAGTAGGAATCTCTTCCCTTCCTGCTTGGGATTTTTGGGAATTTCTCCTCTCTTTTGGGATTTTTGGGAATTTCCCCCTCTCTTTTGGGATTTTTGGGAATTTCCCCCCTCTCTTTTGGGATTTTTGGGAATTTCCCCCCTCTTTTGGGATTATTGGGAGTTTTCCCCCCATACTTGGGATTATTGGGAATTTCTCCCCTCTCTTTTGGGATTATTGGGAATTGCCCTCCCACTTGGGATTATTGGGAATTTTCCCCCTCTCTTTTGGGAATTTTCTCCCCCACCCTTTTGGGATTTTTGGGAATTGTCCTCCCCTCGCTTCCCAGCACCAGAGCACAGCTCTGGCTCCTTCCATTCCTCAGCCTCTGGGTTATTCTGAGCTCAAATCCAATTTTTCAGCAGAGAATTCCCTGGTTTGTGGCTGGTTCTCTGCTCCAGGGAAGTTGAGAAGTTTCTCAAAACCCAAAAAAGTTGCATCCAAGGAAAATTTTGGGGTTTGGAGGCTGAATTTGWCCCCAGGGCAGAGCAGCACAAGCCCCTTTGGTGCTGGTTTGTTCCGTGCTCCAGTAAAAACAAGGAGGGATCATATCTGCTCCTTGGTGTTAATTGAGGGATGTTCTAATTAATGAATCCATTAATTAATGGATATAAAAGCTCTGTCTGTGCCTCCCTTTGCAGTGCATCTCATCTACGGGCCCCTGGACCCTGTRAATCCACACCCAGAGTTCCTCCAGCTCTACAGGTACGAGAAAAATGGGAATGTGCTGCTGGAACTTCATTTCAAGGGATGTTTTTTCCTGGTTATTCCTTCAATTCCATCCTCATGGAGGCTGTTTTTAATT